CATTTGCAATATAATTAATTTCAAACTTACAGATAATAATAAATAAATAAATAAATAAGATTGTAAGCTGCAATATTGATATGTGAAGATATCATCACGTATTCAAACGGGTTGTATCTGCAAAAAGAAGTCCCCCTACCAATTGGAACTCCATTAATTTCACACAACGGATCGTCACTAATAAGAAGTCCCTCCGCTAATTGGACTATCGATATATGTGAACTATCCAAAGAAGCTTTAATTACATCCTACAATGATGATAATACTATTAAAATCAGGTAATTTGTGCTATAATCTAACAATAACCGAGCAAACACAAAAAATGAAAAGAGTTTCTAATTGACTTGTTTTCACAAACGGGAATTTGGCTCTAAATTCAAAACCGGAACCGGTTTCAAGTTTTGTATTTTCCTAAGAGTCATTTGTGCCTAGTTAGTCAAGTGTGTCAAGTTTTGTTGACACCCGTAGCCGTTTGAGCATTTTATTGTGTCAACTAGTTTGAAAAAGAGTTTTTAAATGATAAGTTTTCACAAACAGAAATTTAGCCCTAGAGTCAAAACCGGCAATAGGTTTCAAGTTTCATCTTTTCCTACAAGTCATTTTCACCTAGTTAGTCATGTGTCAAGTTTCGTTGACATCCGACCCCGTTTGACCATTTTAGTGAGTCAACCTGTTCGAAAAAAGAGTTTCTAAAGAATAAATTTTTATAAACGGAAATTAGGCTCTAGATTCAAAACCAGGAATCAGTTTCGAGTCCCATCTTCTCTAACAAGTCATTTGTGCCTAGTATGTCATGTGTGTAAAGTTTCGTTGCTATCCGACACCATTTCATCATTTTAGTGTGTCAGCCTGTTCAGAAAAAAAAGTTTCTAAAGAACAAGTTTTCATAAATGGAAATTAGGATATAGATTCAAAACTGGAAATTGGTTTTTAGTTATGTCTTCCCCTACAAGTCATTTGTGCCTAGTTTGTCATGTGTCTCAAGTTTTGTTGGCATCCGACGCCGTTTGACCATTTTAGTGAGTCAACTGGTTCGAAAAAAGAGTTTCTAAATAATTAAGTTTTCATAAACAGAAATTAGGCTCTAAATTTAAAATCGGGAATCGGTTTTGAGTTTTGTCTTCTCCTACCAGTGATTTGTGCCTAGTTTGTCATGTGTGTCAAGTTTCGTTGACATCCGATGCCGTTATTTTAGTGAGTTAACTAGTTAATTTTCATAAACGGAAATTACTCTCTAGATTTAAAATTGGGAATCGGTTTCGAGTTCTGTCTTCTCCTACAAGTCATTTGTGCCTCATTCATTGTGTGTGTCAAGTTTCATTGACATCCAATGCCGTTTGACCATTTTAGTGAGTCAATCGGTTCGGAAAAAGTTTCCGAAGAACAAGATTTCATAACTGGAAATTAGGCTCTAGATTCAAAACCGGAAAACGGTTTCAAGTCTCGTCTTCTTCTACAAGTCATTTGTGCCTAGTTAGTAAAGTGTGTCAAGTTTCATTGACATTCGACATCGTTTGAGCATTTTAGTGTGTCAACCAGTTCGAAAAAGAGTTTGTAAAGGATAAGATTTTACAAATGGAAATTTGGCTCCAGATCCAAAACTGGGAATTCGTTTCAAGTTCCATTTTCCCCTCCAAGTCATTTGTGCCTAGTTTTTCGTGTCTGTCAAGTTTCGTTGACATCCGACGCCGTTTGAGCATTTTAGTAAGTCAACCGATTTGGAAAAGAATTTATAAAGAACAAGTTTTCATTAACGGAAATTAGGCTCTACATTTAAAACCGGGAATCGGTTTCGAGTTCCATCTTCTCCTACATGTCATTTGTTCCTAGTTAGTCAAGTGTGTCAAGTTTCGTTGACATCCGATGCCGTTATTTTAGTGAGTTAACTAGTTCGAAAAAAGAGTTTTTAAAGAACTAATTTTCATAAACGGAAATTACTCTCTAGATTTAAAATTGGGAATCGGTTTCGAGTTCTGTCTTCTCCTACAAGTCATTTGTGCCTCATTCATTGTGTGTGTCAAGTTTCATTGACATCCAATGCCGTTTGACCATTTTAGTGAGTCAATTTCAGACTGTACAAGGAGGAATTGGGTAGTGTTCTCATTATCAAGTTGTCTTTGATTCAAATTAGTTTAATTTCAGACTGTACAAGGAGGAATTGGGTAGTGTTCTGATTATCAAGTTGTCTTTGATTCAAATTAGTGTAATTTCAAACTGTATAAGGTGGAATTGGGTATTTTTCTTTTTATTTTTTGGTTTATTTTTTAATCTAAGTCTTTATTGGGATAATACCAGTATTGTTCTTGCTACTTATCAGGAAAAAAATTCCAGTATTGTTATGGTTATCATCGTCAAGTTATCTTTTGTTCAAATTGGTGTAGTTTCGAACTGTTTAAGGAGTAATTGGTATAATTTTGATATACATGAATGGAATTTTGTTATCTGTAGTTGATTTTTAATTGGCTTTTGGCACATATATAAGTTTCTTCTTATCTTCAAGGTCTTTGGGGGAGGGTTTTGGAGGCTGCAGTGGGGAAGGGTTTTGGGCGGATTCTTATTTCCAGTTGCTATTTCAATTCTTGCTTTTGCTGTTGATTTGATCTGGTTATATTTATGCATCTCATAAAAATTGAACCAGTCCTCTTTGTCTTCTTAGCACAGTCTAAGCAAGATAATGAAGAAAATGAAGTTTTGAGGTAAATAAATATAGCGCTAATCTTTAGGCCACTTGCTTCAGCATGCTCCAATTTTGCTGCAAACAGGCCACTTGCTTCAGCATGCTCCAATTTTGCTGCAAACAGGCCACTTGCTTCAGCATGCTCCAATTTTGCTGCAAACAGGCCACTTGCTTCAGCATGCTCCAATTTTGCTGCAAACAGGCCACTTGCTTCAGCATGCTCCAATTTTGCTGCAAACAGGCCACTTGCTTCAGCATGCTCCAATTTTGCTGCAAACAGGCCACTTGCTTCAGCATGCTCCAATTTTGCTGCAAACAGGCCACTTGCTTCAGCATGCTCCAATTTTGCTGCAAACAGGCCACTTGCTTCAGCATGCTCCAATTTTGCTGCAAACAGGCCACTTGCTTCAGCATGCTCCAATTTTGCTGCAAACAGGCCACTTGCTTCAGCATGCTCCAATTTTGCTGCAAACAGGCCACTTGCTTCAGCATGCTCCAATTTTGCTGCAAACAGGCCACTTGCTTCAGCATGCTCCAATTTTGCTGCAAACAGGCCACTTGCTTCAGCATGCTCCAATTTTGCTGCAAACAGGCCACTTGCTTCAGCATGCTCCAATTTTGCTGCAAACAGGCCACTTGCTTCAGCATGCTCCAATTTTGCTGCAAACAGGCCACTTGCTTCAGCATGCTCCAATTTTGCTGCAAACAGGCCACTTGCTTCAGCATGCTCCAATTTTGCTGCAAACAGGCCACTTGCTTCAGCATGCTCCAATTTTGCTGCAAACAGGCCACTTGCTTCAGCATGCTCCAATTTTGCTGCAAACAGGCCACTTGCTTCAGCATGCTCCAATTTTGCTGCAAACAGGCCACTTGCTTCAGCATGCTCCAATTTTGCTGCAAACAGGCCACTTGCTTCAGCATGCTCCAATTTTGCTGCAAACAGGCCACTTGCTTCAGCATGCTCCAATTTTGCTGCAAACAGGGGACAATAGAGGCAAAACAAGGTCTTTGCAGGATATGTGTGTACAATCACCCTTCTTATCATTTCTCAAGTTCAAAGGAATGTGGTACTCGACTCTCGGGCCACCAACCGAGCATCGCAATGCACGATAGTGTAGACCACCCGAACTTTTTCCACGCGTCCTCTTTTGGAGAGGCGCGAATTGTGTTCATAGCTACTACAGTTCGAACTCCTGTGACAGTTCTGAATCTAATCTCACAAAGTGCAATGTAAGACTGATAAATCACCAAAGAGTCCAAATTCGGCAAATCGTTTTGGAATATCGATTTTAATCAAAAAGCGCCAAACATGGACTGCTTTGCCAGATTACAGAGTCGCCACCTGAATATTTTGTTTTGGAAAAATTTAGAAAATCCTGTCTCGTGCCAAAGGCTACGTGTCTGTCATCACCAAAGTTGTCTCGGCTCGGGAACTTGGGTACAAGAGGGGAAGGTCTTGAAATGAGCACCCCATCAAAGGATCGGCCTCTACTAAGCATGATATGTTGTTTTATAAACACATTATTCTGATTATTATCTATCTTTACTATGTGATGTGCACATCATACAAGTATAGACTAGATCGCCTGAATTAGAACAGAACAATTCATGTTTGTTTTTGAAAAATGGTTTGGAGTGGCTACCCTCAAGTAGGCTAAAGCGCGGATTTGCCACCCTCAAGTGGGCTTTAAAACATGATGATTTGCCACAAACAAGTGGGCTTAAAACTCACATTTTGATGAATTGTTCCAATTCAAGTAATGAAGTCTTCATCCACAGACATTCATGCAGTTAATCAAATAAGCACATAAATTCTCAATTGGCTAGTTTTCTTCTTTGTTTAAATGTACGTGGTTTGCATCATAGTGAGATCGTGAATTGTATTTAATTTAGAAAACTCTGGATCTTCTTATATATGTTTTTATATAAGATTCCATCTTCTGCAGGAGGAAGAAAATCTTCATGGTCATAGTAATTAAAAAAATAAAGCAAAATGTTACAAAGTACAAACACATGGTCTTGAGAATCTACTTCCCATAAAAAAGCTTATAGAAATGAGCTTACACATATTGGCCCTGTTTGGTAGGGCTTATTGCCAGCTTATTTCAAGTTTTAGCTTAATTTAAGTTATTTTGATGTGTTTGGTTCAGCTTAACAATACAGCTTATAACTTTTTGTAAGTCAAAAATTAACTTATTCTTTGAGTGGGGGAGGAGAAACTTAATTTATAAGTCAAAAATTAGCTTATGTTCACAGCTATAAGCTGTAAGCTATTAGGCTATAAGTTATAATCACTTTCCCACAGCTCTACCAAACGGGGCCATTGTATTAAATACACTCAACTTTTATTACATTTCTCTGATCACCCAAAGTTGTTATAGAAGAAAAACAATTAAAGAAGAAAAGCAACAACAAAATAACTGCAAATGAATTATAGATGTGACAGGTCTATGTTTTTGTCATAAATTTGCCACACATTCATTCAATACTTTGGTGATCTGACAAGTTTGATGCATTAATGTCTTTCCAAATAATATCACTAAAACCAAATACTCTAGCAAAACAAGAAATCAACTGCTTATGAATCACATCTTCAGCAAGAAGTACCTTATCTGTCTCTCTTCTCAAAGATGTAACATCCTTGTCTGCAATCCCACAAGGCACAATATGCTTGAAGTAGCTTAAATCCGGATCAATGTTAAATGCCAAGCCATGAGAGGTAATCCCAGACGAAATTCGAACTCCGATTGCGCCAATCTTTCTGTCACCTACCCACACACCCGTTTCGCCCGTTTGTCCAGCACGAGCTTTCACACCATATAATGATGAAAATTCAATCATAGTTAACTCGAGTTTCTCCACATATTTCCTTGCACCAAGTCCTATATCCCGAAGAGATATAATGGGATATAAGATAGCTTGATGTGGACCGTGGAATGTAATGTCTCCGCCCCTCGGTGTGTAGTGAAGTTCGGCTCCTATGTTTTTTAGGTCAGGTTCAGGGACTAGTAAATTGTGATCGGTTCTCTGTTTGCCAAGCGTATATGTAGGTGGATGTTGTAGGGACAAAATAGTATCAGAAATCTTACGGGTTTTTCTGTCTGAGACCAGCTTGTCTTGAAGCTTGAGTGCCTCCAAGTAGTTGACAGTGCCCATTTTCCAAACCTTGAGACTTCGAGAAATTCTCATTCCCTGTGAATCATGGCATAATCAATTTCATTAACACTGTTTGGTTCTCAAAAACAGTGAAAACTGGGATGGAAAGGAAAATAAATTTTTAAAAAGAAATCAAGATTCTTTTTTTGGTTGCCTAAAGAACAATGTCAAGAGGGAAAAAAATAAAAAATAAAAACTAGTGTAAAAGTAACCAAGCTCTTCGATCAGCACAACTGTGACCATTTTCATTATACTTTTTAACTAGTTTTCATAGAAATTGTGATTACTTTAGGACATGTTCAGTTTTAACATCATAAACACTGAAAGATTTTAAATTTAAATTCCATAAATAAGAACCATCTGTCATGAACCTAAGTGCATCAAATAATCTCAAGTTGATGTACAACCCATTAATCAAAACAAAGAATTTTCACTAGTACAATCACAAAAACTCATTCAGGCATTTCATCAAACAACACATGAGCCTAATTGTTTGCGAAACCCATTTGTCCACCACATTGAATAAACTAGTTCACAAAGTTCATTGAAAAGCATTATATTTTCAGAATATACAAGTAAAGATCTGCAGCAAAAGCTTAATAAACTAGTTCACAAAGTACATACAAACATTATATTTTCAGAATATACAAGTAAAGATCTGCAGCAAAAGCTTAATAAACTAGTTCACAAGTTTAGGGGCTCCAATCCAAACAGAGCTCAAGCGGTTCTTTGGAGGAGATGAGCGTCAAAAACCCTCGACCCTTTTACGAAAACGACAACGTCTATAGGGACCAATTAATTGTTGGGCTTAATTATAATTAAGGAGATTTATTAGAAAATCAAGTATTTGTATCTCCATTAGTCTATAAAATATTTTTGTATTTCAATTAGTCCTACTATTTGGACATTTAGGGCTAGTTTGGCATGTACTAAATAAGCCAAAAAGTCATCTTATTTAAGTCACATCATCTTATTTAAATCACATCACCTCTCTAACACATCACATCAAACCCAACCCAAACCCAACCCAAACCCACCAATAAGTCAAAAAGTGCACTTTTTTAGGACATCCCAAACCAACCCTTAATCTATTAAATCTTAATTATCATATTTAAGGTATTTTATGGACATTTTTACAATTACAAATATTTTTTGAACGGTTAGCAATTTGGTAATGTGAATATTCATATTTTACAATGTGAATGTTCACATTAATGTGTGAATGTTCATATTGATAGTGTGAACATTCACATCACGAAATATTCGCACCGAAACGTGAATATTATTAGGATGTATTTTGATAACTATATCACCTGTAGGATTTATTAGAATATAATAAAATAATATGGACTAAATAAAACATAAGTGGGTGAAAAGAGATTTATGAAAAAGTGCCTCTTATAATTAAGGTAGTAAATAAGAATAAAAAAGTTAGGACCCCACAATTTAGGATCCAAAATCTACCTATAAATAGATATGTACAGTGAAAATTAAATTGATAAAACATGAGATTCACATATGAAATTGTATGATAGGGTTCAAGAAAGTTGTTGAAAAATTCGAAGATCTTCGAAGAACTTTGAAGAAAACTCGAATTCTCTAAAAAATGATGAGAAGCTTAGATTCTTCAATAGTTACAACTAAGAACACAAAAGCAAAGAGATGATGGAGATAAAAGATTGGGTGAAAAGGAAGGCAAAGTAGTTAGAGAGAGAATAATAAAAAGGCTCTCCCATGGATCTCCCTCTTTCACTCTCAAGATTAATCATGGAGAAGGGAAATTAGTTCTTTCCCAAGAGTTATCTCTCCAAAATCCATTTGGAGACGGGAAATTAGTTCTTTCCCAAGAGTTTTCTCTCCAAAATCCATCCCTTGTAAAGCTATGGGTGGGTGCTATTTATAGGTACCTCATGATGTAGGATGAAGCCCATGTGTTGCACATGGGGAATATTCTCTCTAACAACCTTGTCCGAGGAGGTGACCTCTTCAAGGATGAGAAAAACTCCGAAGAGGAGATCAACCTTTCGGCGAACTCTTCTTCTTAGCCACACCTAACCAATGATCCCCAATCATCCCAAAGGGTTAGGGGTAGTCCTAGAGGACGGCCTGTCGCATAAGGGTCAGGGGTAGTTTATGAGAACGCCCTGCCGCAAATATTGCCGAGTTTCAAGGACTCCATAGATTGTACCACCTCGACCCGAGTATAGGCTAGTTTAACCGAAGAGTGAATTTATCTCCACTCACCGTCCTCGGGATCGGGTCCTTTGTTCGAACTCCATTACGCCCATGGTTCTGGTGTGTAGATCCCGGAAAGCTCCGAACCCGCAAGTGTTCTGGGACTCATTAACGGAGTGACTTCTAGATTGCGCCTGAATCCATTCGAAGTCAAGTGCTTTAGATCTCTAGGTTCGTGGATCCGAACCCTTTCGAGTCCGAGTGCCTCGGATCTCTAGGCTTGCTCAATACCCTTTTGAGTCCGGGCTCGAGTAAGTCTCTAAGTTCGTGGATCCGAACCCTTTCGAAGCTTAGAGCGATTCAGCTCGTTTGATGGCGATAAATCCAGGCCCACCAGTCTTGGACTTGCGATAAATTCGGGCTCACCAACCTTCGACTATTGGGCCTAATTAATTTAATAGGCTCAAATTAGCTCCCCTTACATTTGCCCCTTCCGTGTATGAGAAATTTTAGCTTTCTCAGACATGCATAATTTCACCTTTTCAGCCATGCTTCACACTACATCCTTTTTTTTTTTTTTTGGCCCCTGATTTTTAGAAATCAACCTTAATTCTTCAATTTCTTGAAAAGCTTGCATGACTCCATATGTTTTTTTGATCCTTCATGAGCATCTGAGGGTCCATTAATATATATTTTTTATTTTTTTAGAGTCAAACTTGACTTCGTATATGTAATTCTTGAAGACCACCATCAAAATTCTTTATCCAAAATCTTCTTTCTGGCAGCCAAACAATCTTAAAATAACTTAGGCCCTTTATATATATATAGTAGAATAATCTGAGAGGCCACACTAACCAGACCTTTTCTTTTTTTCTTTTTTTTTTGGTTTGGAAACAGCGGGCCCATTATATGCACATATACACACTAGAATATTTGAAAGAATATCCCAAGCATCACACTTCTTTCTTTCTATTTAAAAAAAAGGGCCAAAACCCTATTTCATAGCTCATCCTTCTTTTTTTTTTGTTGCACAGCAGCGCTCTCTTTCTCTACACAAAGAGACGCAGCTTTTTTTTTTTTTTTTCCCCTTTCTTTCTAAAATCAACAATGATAGAGACCACTAATTTTGGAGCTCTAAAAAGACCATTAATGACATGGCATTCAATAAAAAAAGAAAAAAAAATACAACACCAAAGTCAAAACATCAAATCATGCCTGGTGGGGCCCACTGCCACATTATTAGTGATAGCACTAATTAGTGCTCTCACTCATTTTCCTTCTAAAATTCACATTCTCTCACTCTAGTGCTTAAACTCTTCGAATACAAATGTTGTCATAACTGATCTTCCGATTTTCTTTTGATTTCAAGCTCTAAAACCGAGTTGTTCGACTCATTGATCGAGACCAACCCAACCTTTTTCTTCTTCAACAAAACAAAGGCTATCATGACCTGCTGGTTGTACACCTACTAAAGACCACCGACACTTGCACGCCGGCCGTCTTACAGCTCCAGGTGCCGTCGATGTCACCGAAGACCCACGCCACTACCGCGGTTGGCCAGTGCCGACACCAGCTCGTCACAGTTGCTGCTGGCTCGCGCTGCTTACGTTCCGTCGCAGCTCTACCTGCTACAAATGTCGTGACCTCAAGCTGCCGTCAGCCTCTTTCTGCTCTATCTTCGGCTATTCAAAGCCACTTACCCACATTGCTGCTACGTCCAGCCTTATCAGCCAAGCACTGACCAGACACACCGCCCACTTAACGCGGCATAGGTGATCTAGTCAAGCACCGTTCAGCTTGTTGTTGGTGTTCCTTCTTAGCTTAACAACATTTATCAAAGCTCTCAACTCACAGATCTTGGCCCTGCTTTCATACCCACTGAAACCCATCGCCATCAGTTCTGGCCGTGATTAATCAACGCCAACCACGCCGCCGACTCAGCGCAGTGCTGGTTCATCCAGCTGCCCATTGCTCGTGCTGTCATTCTCGGCCTACACTGCCTTTGGTCTTCATTCTCTTCATTACTTCTGTAAGTTTGTGGTTAAATGCTTAAAACCCTCTTCTCTTTCTTTATGCTTTGAGCTTTTGATTTGTTGATCCTGACATTTGTGACTTTGGAGCTAGAACTGGAATGCTTAATTTGTATAAAATCCAATGCTTGTGAGATCAAAATTTGAAACCCTCTTGCCAAGAGGGAGAGTAATATTGATGTTGTAGAGCTCATAATCACACTGTCACATTTTGTCTAATGCTCTGAGGATCTATAATTCTGATGAACCTCATACTCTGATGAACTCTGAATTTGTGAACTTCGGTGGAAATTTTATTTGGATCTTGAATCTTGTAATTTTTTGAAATAACTAGTGCTCCTTGTTGAATCTTGAACTTGTGAGCTTGTCGTTACACACTTTGTAGAGCAAAAATTAGAGTTGATAATCTTGTACAAATTGAATCACTGATGTTGAATATTGTTGTTTGAACATTATAGCCTTGAGGACATTTACACTTGATTTTTTAGAGAAGATGAGATACTCTTTGAATCCCTCTAATTTGATCTTGAACTCATGATGATAAATCTAATATAAACAAAATATTTGATGCTTGCACTGGGTTATTGATGTCGAAATTTTGTTTGATCATCTTAGCTTTATATCGGCTTGAGAGAAGCCGGCCTAAAGGGATAAAGCCTTGATTGTTGCATTCTCATGAACTTGTTCGGAGGAATAGAATTGTTGCAACTTAAATAGATCATTATTATTTGTTGATGTTGCCCCATTTTGATAATGCCTGAATCATAATATGAACTCGATATTGTTTATCTCATTTGTCAGCTTTACTATTTCAGGCAAATGAATTCTTGT